AACATACATGGGAATGTTCTTTAAACATTTTCAGTAAAAGATGCCAAAGTACAAGTAGCCAATACACATAATACAAAATTTCCAGATCACATGAGTTAAAAAAAAAAAGAAAGCCAATGAATAGGCCAGTGGTCCAGTATCCTCCTGTAGGGTCCGCCCTGTTGAGGAGGGAAGTGCAGGACAAGCCCTCATCCACTTGGCGGCCAGGTGACCTCTGCACTCTCTCGGCACAAGCCCGAGCCTCTTGAAAGCGGCAAAACGCACTTTCCGTCTGTCCCAGCGCCTCTGCGTTTAGAATGCAATTCTGCATAAGTGCATGCACGTAAGAGCGAAGATGTATTACAAAGATTTCCATTTTTTTAATAAGTACAAGTGCCTGGAACCAATATAAGTGCCTCTCATTATGGGAATGAGGAAATAATTTATGGAATATCATGGAGCTATTTTAAAAATGGATTAGAATATCTCCAAACTATATTGCTAAATGAGAAAAAGCAAAATGCAAAGCAGGGTGTGCATAATGCTGCTACTAGTGTTTTAAAGAGGGTGGTTTATGGACAAACATACTCACGGTAATAGAGAAACACCCTGCAGACCAGGGCAGGTGAGGGGCTGCCTGGGAGGACCCGCAGGACTGTGAGCGGGCACGGCCTCTGGGAAGCTGAAGGACGCCTTGCAAGACCAGTGGCTTCTGTTTACACAGCCTTGGAATTGGCTTGATATGTTAACCGTGATGAAGTATTGCTTTTTCCAACAAAACATATATGCATGCATGCATGCTCAGTTCCTCCCATCGTGCCCAACTCTTTGTGACCTGTGGACTGTAATCTGCCAGGCTCCTCTGTCCATGGGATTCTCCAGGCAAGAATACTGGAGTGGGTTGCCATGCCCTCTTCCAGGGGATCTTCCCGACCCAGGGATCGAACCCATGTCTTCTGCATCTCTTGAATTGCAGGCAGATTCTTTACCTACTGAGCCACCTGGGAAGCCCTAGACATATGCATTTATGCATAAAGCATATATGCATATTCATATATATTCATGTGCATACATGAGTGTATAATACTCACACATATACATATAGGTATGGGTCTCCGGGAGTGTCATCTAAGAGCCGGGAGCAGGGAGTCCAGCCCAGATGTGGTCCCCACGGGCTCACCTTTGGGCCCTATGTCCGAGTCTCTCATCGCAAGAGTGAGGATGATACGCAGCACCTGCCTCGGATGGGGTTGACACATGCCAGGCGATGCACGCAATGGTTTCTACGGGGGTGTCGGGGGCTGCCATTCTGGGCCCATTTCTTACCCGTGTCCTGCTCTTGGACACTGCATCCCAAGTCCCGAGTGTGTGGCCGGAGATGGACACATGTCGTGCCCAGTAAGGGCTGCCGTGGGGGGATGGTGGGGCTCGAGACCCCAGCTGGGGGGTTAAGAAAGCCTGATAAACGCCTGTTCACCTCTCGAGATGTCAGAAACCATGCTGGCTTACACATGAGTTAACTTGAATTTGATGCTGACTAAAATAGTCTGTTTACGGCCCAGCAGACATATATTGTACATCTGTTTTCATTATTAGAGAAATGGCCACACTGGCCGAAAGTAAAGAATGTCCAAGTTAAAAGTAAAGATTCAAGGCCTCCCTCCCGGGGACGCCAATGCCCGTCCTCCCTCAGTGATGAGACTCACTTCCCAGGTGCAGTTCACGGGGTCGCAGAGTCAGACACGACCGAGCGACTGAACCGAACTGATCAAGGAGAGAAGACTGCTGGTGCTCAGTCGCATCCGGCTCTTTGAGACCCCGTGGACTGTGGCCCGCCAGGCTCCTCCATCCTTGGGATTTTCCAGGCAAGAATACTGGAGTGGGCTGCCATTTCCTTCTCCAGGGGATCTTCCTGACCCAGGGATCAAACCCAGGTCTCCTGCATTGCAGGCAGATTCTTTACCATCTGAGCCACATTTGTTGATTATTTTTGTTGATGAGCCTTATGGTACTAGAAAGAGAGAAAGGACAGAAGAAATCAAACAAATAAAACAAAGACACGTTCGTGGCCAGGTTAGGTCTGCCCACTTCAGGGATATAAAAATGATAGAAAGCATTGAACAACCTTGTGCCTTGGGGCAAGTTTATTAACAATAAATACACAGGTGAGACAGAGAGAGGGTCCGTGAACATTTCCACTCTTACACGCACCCTCGAATTATGACTAAGATGCCCCTACAATAGATGAGGAGCGGGTGGGCAATTCAGTAAACCAGGCAGGGACAACTGGGTAGCCACAGGGGAAGATAAAATTTTATCTCTCTCCCAAGCCACCCACAAAAATGAGCTCCAGATGGCATAAAGACCTAAACTTTAAAATTCTAGAAGAAAATGTGTTTTCTTATTCTTATTCATATTCTTATTTCTTAAATAAGACACAAAAGCACAAAACCTAGAAGAAATGAATAATGTATTTCATGCCATCAAAATTTAAAATTTTATACAGCAAAATCATGATAAATAATAAAGTAGGAGGGGGTTTTTATCCAATAAAATCAATAACAATTTTTATCGGAATACACAAACAACTCATATAAGGCATCAGGGGGAAAAAGTAATAAAAAATAAAAAGGAAGATATAAATATGCAGCTCAGAAGAGGGGGGACTCTAATGCCCAACAAACATGTGAAGACGATTTAATGTCATTCATATTTAAAATGGCCAGATAACCTGGGAGACTTCAGATTTATAACCAGACAATCGCAGGTACGGGCGAGAACGTGCTCACAGTGGAGGCTCACGGGCCAGCTGAGGGCCGCTGATGAGGGACACAGAAGCTGAGTGCCACCTCCACCCGCCACCTCTAAGGCACCTCAGCCCCATGCTGGGGAGACAGGGGTGTTCAGGCGGCATCATTAATTACAGCAAATCTGCAGAAACAACCAATGGGCCCATCAACAGGAAAATGGATAAATAAGCTGGAATGTAACAAAATGGAAAGTTTACAGTTGTTTAAATGAATAAACCGTGTTTGGGTACCTCGAGGAGAAAAGATCTGACCATATTGTGGGAACTGAAGACGCAAACTGCAAAATCCTACATGTATCGTGTGTTGCAGGCGTGTGTGCTAAGTCACTTCCATCATGTCTGACGCTATGTGACCCTATGGACTGCAGTCCGCCAGGCTCCTTTGTCCATGGGATTCTCCAAGCAAGAAAACTGGAGTGGGTAACCATGCCCCTCTCCAGGGGATCCTGCTTACACAGTGATCGAACCCCCGTCCTGTATATCTCCTGCATTGGAAGGTGAGTTCTTTACCACTCCCACGGCCTGGGAAGCCCATATATAGCGTGTTACTTTTTGCATAAATGGTAGAACAGAAGCTGTGTGTGTGACTTTGTTCATAGCCACAGTTGTGTATGGAAAAACCATAGTAAAAAAAAGAGGATAGACACAAGGTTCACTTCAGGGAAAAATGCTGGAGGTGTACAAGGTGAGAATAGGACAGTTCAAATCCCGCTGGGCTTACCTAGGATAGTTCACTTACTATTTCTATACGGACTTTCTGTTTTTAGGGCATTTTAGATTTACAGAAAAATGAGCAAATGCTACAGTGGGTTCCGCATACGCACACCCGCCCCTCTCCCTCTTTCAGGGGACCGTGCCCATATTATTAGCTGTATCTGTGCAGTGCATTTGTTAAGTTAATGAGCCAGGATTTGTTAAGTTAATGAACTAGGACTGACACCCTACTGTTAACGCAAGTCCACAGTTGACATCCAGGGGATCACCCTTGGTGTATCTTCTATGGGTTTGGACAAATGGACAATGGCATGTACCCACCATTAACAGTATCCTACAGAGAAGCTTTACTGCCTGAAAAATCCTCTAATCTCCCCGATTAACTGGTCCCCTGCTTGCCTCAAACCTCTTATAAACGCTGATCCTTCTACTGTCTCCATAGTGGTGCCTTTTCCAGAATGTCATAGAGTTAGAATCACACCATCTGTAGCCTTGTCAGACTGGCTTCTTTCACTTCAGTTCAGTCGCTCAGTCATGTCCGACTCTTTGTGACCCCATGGACTGTGGCACGCCAGGCCTCCCTGTCCATCACCAACTCCTGGAGTTTACTCAAACTCATGTCCATCGAGTCGGTGATGCCATCTAGCCATGTCATCCTGCCTCACTCTTTCACTTAGAAAGAATAGAAAGTGAAGTCGCTCAGTCGTGTCCGACTCTTTGCGACCCCATGGACTGTAGCCTACCAGGTTGCTCTGTCCATAGGATTTTCCAGGCAAGAGTACTGGAGTGGGTAGCCATTTCCTTCTCCAGGGGATCTTCCCAACCCAGGGATCAAACCTAGGTCTCCCGCATCATAGGCAGACGCTTTACTGTCTGAGCCACCACTCTTTCACTTACTGATATGCATTTAAGGTTCCTCCGTTTCTTTTCATGGCTTAGTAGCTCATTTCTTTTCAGGGCTTAATAATATTCTACTGTCTGGCTGAACCACCATTTTTCATCCATCACCCACTGCAGGACACCTTGGTTGCTCCCAGTTCTGGGTCACGATGAACAGGCTGCTGTCCATGGTTGCCTCCAAGAACTTGTCCAAGCAACTGTGGAAGGGTTCCGCCAGAGTACGGCCCGGCAGCCACCGTCCAGGCAGGCGGCACTCTGGATTCACTGGCGTCTCTGAGGTCAGGAGGTGAGCTCCCTGCCACCTCAATCCTCCGGTGGCCCAAGAAGTCACTGACTTTCAGTTTGCCCAGCGCTTCTCTTGCAGGGACGGACGTGAGGGCTTCCGAGTTATTTACAGGGCACGGCTCCATCCGAAGGGCCTTGTCTGAGCCTCCCTGATTTCCGTTCTGTCTCGGCTCCAGGACAAGACCTGCTGACCTGAGATGCTTCGCGCTTAAAGGTCCTCCAGTGAGTCCGTGTTTGGCAGACTTCCTGCGTGCCTGCCCGATACCCCCAAGAGTGAAATGCATCAGCTCAGCGTCTCCTCATCCCCAGCATCTCAGAGCTCCTCCCGGCCCAGCCACAGTGCTCGCGGCTCAGGAGGGCCGGCTCTGCCCGGGGCGCCCGGCATCCTCTGGGGCACTTCCGCAGACTCCCGGGCGCCGGGGCTGCGCACAAGCGTGGCCTGTATTTGAACCTCACTTTCTTTGTCTCTCCCCTTCACATGAATATTTATCGCGAGGAAGGCCCAGCCAGCACGCCAGCGGCCCCATTCACGGAATCCATCAACAACTCCTTTGTGAGACCTGACCTGGGGACGGAGGATTGAGAGGGAATGAATGTGTTTCGTTTTCTGAATCACAAGGACTGTGAGCAACAATATTCAATGGGCTTTTGTTCTTCTATTTCTGTAGGACCCAGAACTTTGGGAGGGCAAAGTGATGGTGAATTGGTTGCACGATTAAAAGCCGTCGTCCTTAGGAAGGGGGGGTCGGGGGCTTCTGTGCTGTGCTCCCGGGACTCTGAGATGCTGCAACCCTGCAGGAGAAGCTACCTGTGCGAAGCTGGGGCCCTGTGGTCCCCCTGCCATAGCACAGGCTTAGGGGTCAGCACACCTGCCCCCGACCCCGGGGCCTTGGGGGAGGGCCCGAGTGCCAGAGACCCTTCCAGCCTGGACTCAGGACTCGTGCCCGAGCCTCCATCTGTTCACTGTCCAAACAAGTGCTCATCCAGCCAGTCTGGGGGGAGAGGCGTTTCAGACAGTCGTCGGAAGTCCTGCAAAGCAGCAGGGGTGCTGCGAAGCCCCCTCTCAGCTGGACCCCAGACGTCACACATGGCTCCCTGACCTCTGCGGCCCCAGCATCCATCCGCTGCGGGGTCCAGAGCCCCTACACCCTACCCTCTAGGGGCCAGACTTTTCCCCCCAGCCTCTTCATCCAGCCAGCAGGAGGTAGCCCCCACCCGCTCATGGCTCAGGGCTATGCCTTCTTTCCTAGGAAGCCCACCTCCTTGGAAGCTTCTTCCCCAGCTCCACTATATTTCCTCTTCCGCAGCCCTTCAGAGAGATTTCTAGCACAGACCCTCTGTGTGTGTGAGTGCGTCTGTCTGTCACACACGCACAAGCACACAAGTAACCCACTCTTCCTATAACACTCCCCAGCCTCAAAGCCTCTTCTCCAGAAGGGTCCCAGGTGCCCTGGGCCAGGTCTTTCTCCCCAGGGCGTGGGCGCGCCTCCCCAGGGACCGAAGCCCTGGGCAGTGAGGCTGCACAGAGGGCTGGGAAGCTGGGCTCCGGCCGGGATGCGGTGGCCACCGCGGCATCTGTGGGGCCCAGGGGCACAGCCGGGCATGGACGTCCAGCCGGCTCCGGGAGCCCCGGCGCCCCAAGGACGCAGACGCCTGTGTGATGAGGCGTGTCTCTGCGAGAGACAAGCCAGCGGGGCCGGGAGAGCTGCGGGCAGAAGCCTCCACCCCAGGTCCTCCCCGAGGCTTCCAAGATGGCCATCAGGGCTGGCTCTGGGCCACAGTGCTGGTCCGTATCCACCTGGAGGAGGGGTTTGCGGGGACTTAAGTCCGTGGGGTGAAGAAGTGGATTTCTGTCATCAGCTGCACAGGAAGTCAGGTCACAGCTCAAACATCCCGCAGGGTCCGGGAGTGGGTCTCCGGGCAGACGGCAGGTGGGCTTCCCCGTGTGACCATGGCTGTGGTCCACGCGGCTTCTGAGGCGGCTTTAGGGCAAGATGGACACTTTGGCAGGACAGGTCCTGATGGCAAGGTGGCCATGCTCATTCAGGAAACGGCTCCCCTCAGGACGCCCGTGACCCCTCCACGTCCAGTTCTGGCGGCCTCTGCTCCAACACCCTCTGACGTCACCTGTGACCGGAGCTGCCAGCTGTGGCCATCTTCCCTGACCAGCCAGCCCCACCTCCCAGCCGCGACGGGCAGAGGGCCCTCCCCTGGTGGGAGACCGGAGAGGCCTGGGGGTGCCGCCCACACCCACCTCCAGGACCATCCACACTGGGGGGCTTTGACGCTCAATTCAGGCTCCGAAGTCCTCTGTAAGGTCAGGCTGGGGCCAGGCTGCCCCCAAGCCACGCCCGGACACGTGTGCAACCCAGGTGCCCGTCCAGCTTCCTCACGAGAATATCCAGACCCTCCGAGTCCGCCCAGCCAAGCTGAAGTCTCATCTCACCCCACACCGGAGCTTCTCTGATGTCGCCCATCTGAGAAGCCAGACCGTCCCCTCGGGCGTCCTGACTCTTGGAGGAATCGCTGATCCCATCCCACGCTACGGTTTCTCAGCCAGCGCGCATCCCTGGACGTGAGAGGCCTGCCTTTCCTTTTCCTTGGCGTCTTTCACGCCTCTCAATTCACAGCCGACCCTGTCTCTTCCTTCTTACCGCTGTCGGCTGGAGAAGCCACAGCCCCATCGGTGGGCTTCCTGTCTTCCGGACTTTGCTGGTGGGCCCTCTGGTGCAGGCTGTGTGCGCCTCTGTCCTCCATGCCTCCAGGGAGTCTCAGAGTCTGAGGCATCCCTGGGCTCGGGGCCACCACCTGGGCGGGGCCACCACCTGGGCAGGACCACAGGAGTTTCTCCCATCAGGAGGCACCCGCTAGCCCGTCTTCATTCTTTCTTTGACGTCAGCATTACTGATGCTCAGCCCTGAGATGCACTGGTTCTCTGGGAGACGACGGTGGTACCCGTTTTCCTCAATTAGCCAGACACGCTTTGTAAGGAGGGGTGTCCTCACATTCACACGCGTGCTGCTGGCTCAGGTAAGGGTTTACTCTCGAGGGATCGAGGCTGGGCTCTTCCACAGGGTGTACCTAATCTTCAAGAAAACGGCTTTCTCTCTGCTGTCCACTGAGATTTCTTTCCACACCGTCACTGGATCTGTGGGAGGGGCCCCGATCGATTGCAGGGCTCACCACCTGGAGGCCTGGCTGTGCCGTCTGGGGTCAGCGGTGGCCTCGTCCAGCCCCGGCGGCCCCTGAGCCCTGCAGGCCTGGACTCTCTCTGTCTGAGTGTCAGCCCCAGCCTGGGGAGCCAGGCTCACCTTGCAGGCTGCTCCCGAAGGCTCTGACTCCTCCCCGCAGGGCCACGGTTCCAGCTGCCGGGAGTGCCTTCGGCCGGCACACTCCTCCGACGTCCTTTACGTGAGCTGGGGGAAATGCAGACTCTGCTGCTCCCTGCCGCCTCCAGCCCCTGGAGGGCAGCTTCACTTCCTTTCCATCAGTCGACATCAACGATAGAGGCCGCTGCCTGCGTCCTGAGCGTTCCCTCCTCGGGAGAAGTGTCCTGTGAGTGAGGACTCGGCCCTGTTCAGCGTGACCTCCTGATCTGTGCAAGGAGCATGTCCAGTGATGCTTACTAACTGAACAAGAGCGCGTTTACTGAGTGTGTACTCTGTCTAAGCTATGCACACACACACGCACAGACACATGCACACGCACAAGTGTGTGCACATGCGCGCACACACACACATGCGCACACTCGCATTTACAATTCCCAGCAATGTTATAAGATAGGTCTTGTCATTTAACCCCATTTTAGAAAGGAGGACACCACTGCTCGAAGAGGTAGCAATTTGCCCAAGATCAAACATCCAGCCGCGCCGCCAGTCGCTGGCTCCGGGCTGCATCGCGTGGACGTGCTGAGCCACAGGGGCGCCAGGTCGCCCCTCAGAGCCCAGGTCGCCCTCACGATGGCACTCCAGGAGGGAGGCGGGACGGACGCCGCAGGCAGGGCGCCAGCCCGCTTCTGGGGACGCACCCGTCCCCACAGAGGGAAGGTGGGAGGGGCCGCAGGGAGACCCCGGAAATGAACAGGTGACCGACGATGTGTGAGTTTTATCGTCATTAGTTTGTTTTGAAATGGAAGCATCCGATAAAAATAATTTTAGGCAGACCACCTCAGCATCAAAAGCCATCCACCCTGGGTCCCCGCCCTGGCGGGGTGGGGAGTTAGCATCCATGGGCCCCTGTTGTCAAGGGCAGGAGAGAGACCCTTCGGCCCGTTTCTAGAACAGCCTTGACTCCCTGCTGTCGTTTCCCGTGGGCTCAGCGTGGCGTTCCTGCGCACTTGTGGTGAGCATGAAGCCCGCCGGTGAGGAGGCCCAGCCCCGTCTGTCAGACACGGGCCTCAGAGCCTCAGCCACTGTTGTCGGGCACCATGAGAAATGCCAGCTAGAGCGACAGAACCCCAGTCTCAGCTGTTTGAACTGAACCAGGAGACGGAAGTGGACGGAAGTGCACTGGGGATGCCCCTCACTGATTGTTCCGCTGCGTTTCGCACCCAGGAGCCCAGCTACGAGCCCAGCTTCTGAGGGTGGCGACCAGGATGAGGAAGGACTTGGGACTCCAACGTGAGGAGCTGGACACAGCTGGGGAGTCTGCTGGCGCCCGGTCGACCAGCGGCTCTCAGGGAATGCTGACTCAGCCCAGCGCACGTCTCCGTGACCCAGGGGTGCCCGGGCCAGCAGGTCAGAGGCGGGAGCCCAGCAACCACTTAGCGACGGACCCTCCCGGGTCGACTGACGCCTCTGCGTGCCCGGCGGGAGGGGGAAGGGCAGCGAAGGACCGTAACTGCTGATGGTGGGAAACACATCTCCGTAGATGAGCGGTGGCTACACCAGCCTCTGTCCAGGGAAGGGGAGCCCGGTCTGGGGTTACAGAAGAACTATCGGAGTGAAAATAACTTTGAAGAAGAAGAGCAAATTTTCAGGACTTGCACCACCTGTTCTCAAGACTCACTGCAAAGCAGAAAGCAGAAGCAACATGGTGAAGATAGACACATAGATCAAGGGCACTGAATAGACTGTCCAGAAATTGACCCACAGAAATATGGCAAATTGATTTTTTGACAAGGATGCTAAGAAAATTCGTTGGGAAAGGACATTATTTTCAACAAAGGGTCACCAAGAATATATTGTTCTTGTTGTTCAATCACTAAGTCATGTCTGACTCTGCGTGACCCACGGACTGCAGCACGCCAGGCTTCCCTGTCCTTCGCTGTCTCATGGAGTTTGCTCAAACTCATGTCCATTAAGTCAGTGATGCTATCCAAACACCTGTCAGCCCCTTCTCCTCCCGCCTTCGATCTTTCCCAGCATCAAGGTCTTTTCCAACGAGTGGGCTCTTCACATCAAGTGGCCTAAATATTGGAGTTTCAACTTCAGCATCAGTCCTTCCAATGAGTATTCAGGGTTGATTTCCTTTAGGATTGACTGGTTTTATCTCCTTGCAGTCCAGGGGACTCTCAAAAGTCTTCTCCAGGACCACAATTCCACAATTTGAAAGCATCAATACATATCATATCCACATGAATGAGGAATGAAGCTCCATCCCTCACACCATATAGAGAAAGTAACTTGAAATAGATAAAAGGACTAGACTGAAGTGATAAAACTATGGGCTATTTGGAAAAAAAAAAAAAAAACACATGTTCTGACTTTGTGTTAAGTAAAGATTTTTTAATAAGGTAGTAAACGTGAATTATAAAAATTTTTTTAATTGTAAATGAGACTTCATCAAAACTAAAACAAGACAATGAAAAGGTAAACCACGAACTGGGAGGAAAAAAAAGTGGCAAATATATATAAAAGACTTCTATAGTGAGTATATACAGAACTCTCACAACTCAATAATATGATGATAAACAAAACATTCAAGAAATGGGCAAATATTTGAACAGATGCTTTACCAGAGAGGATAAACATGTGGTTAATAAGCATATGAAAAAATGCTCAACATCATTAGCCTTTCAGTTCAGTGTTAGCCTTTAGGAGAATGCAAATTAAAACCATAATGAGATACCACTTCACACCCGCCAGGATGGTGAAAATGTAAAAGGCGGAACATACCCAGTGTTGCTGAGGGTGCGGAGCAGCTGGGATCTTCACATGTTGCTGGCGCGGACTTGGAGCAGGGCGGGCGTTTGGAAAAAGGTTCATCAGGGTTTGTGAAACTCGATGTGCAGTTACTGCCAGACCCGAGAATTCCAATCCCAGGTATTTTTTGAAGCAAAGTGAAAACATATGCCTACTCAAAGATTCGTGCATGAATATTCATGCAGCTCAGCTTTATCTGACTAGCTAGGAACTGCAAAGAACACAAGTGCCCATCGAGCAGTGCCTGAATGAACAGTTTTCGGTGCGTCTATATTATGGAATACCAGTCAGCAATAAAGCAGAATAAAATAATGACATTTACTGATGATGCAGAGGGACATGCCTGAGTCTCAGCAGCATTATGCTAAATGAAGGAAGCCAGATGTGAAAGGCCAGTGCTGCGTGAGTCAAAGCATGTAAAAGTCTGCGTTGGTAGAAACCAGGTCAGCGCTCGTCGGGCCTGGGGTGAAAGGCTGACATGACGGCCAAGGGCACAGCAGAACTTGGGGTTGATAGAGATGCTATATGTCTTGATTATGCTGGTCGTGGTGGTGGCAAAATCCACAAGATTTTATAGTTTAAACTGGTATATCTTATCATATGCAAAACATAATGAGGTAAAACAAAAATAAGCCATCAGAAGAGAGAAACAATAACAACCTATGCTCATTAATCCAAACAAGACAGGAGTGAGGAGCAAAGAATGCCTGGGGCAAACTGAAAACAAATAGGAAGATTTGTGGTTGTTGTTGAGTCTCTAGGCCGGGTCCAGCTCTCTGCGACCCCATGGACCGCATCACGCCGGGGTCCTCTGTCCTCCACTGTGTCCTGGCATTTGCTCACATTCATGTCCACTGAGTCTATCAATGGTAGTCCTATCTAACCATCTCATCTTCTGCCTCTCCTTCTTTTGCAGTCAACTCAAAACAAATCAGATAGAATATCCCTTCACCTATAAGTGATCCAAGTGCTCCAATTAAAAGTCAGAGAGGGTTGGAGAGGACAAAAGCGCAACTCAGCTATGTGCTGTTTATAAAGGATGCAATTTAAATGCAAATAAGCAGGGAAGTTACAAGGAGAGGCAAGTGAATAAGCTGCAAAGATCTACTGTGACACACAGGGAAATGTGGCCATTGTTTTGCAACAACTTTAAATGGAGTCTAATCAATAAAAATATTGAATCACTAGGTTGTATACCTGAAACTAATTTGACATTGTAAATCAATTGTATTTCAATTAAAATAAACTTAAAAAAAAAAAGCAGGCATTCCAGTAGTGGAAACCCTGTTGACCGTCCGATATCAGACCCAGACGGCTGGGACAAGAAACGGGAATGGGTGAAGGGAGGGCACGATGTGATTCAAGGAAGAAGAATTCATTAAAAAAATAGGGTCTTTGGCGTCTGTGCTCACACACGAAAATGTGCTTCACGTACTTGAAGTGCAAATCCACGGAGCTGGAAGAGAAAATAGACGCACGGCTGATGGGGAGCGTTAACTGGTCCTGTCTCAGGAATTAACAGATCCTGCAGGGCAAACACAGCAGCAGCAGTAGTTAGTGAGGCAGAGAGGATGGGACCACAGCTCCACCCGCCCAGACCGACGGCGTGGCTAGAATACCAGCAAGCGAAACTGGAGTCCACCTTCTTCTTAGGTGTTCACGGAACTGTCATGGAAACATGCCATAAATTGAGCCTTATGGTGAATCTCAATAAACTACAAAGGACTGAAATCACGCAGATCAGATTTTTCTTTAGCTTTCTGATCATTTTTTGATGATTTATCTAGGTTGGCTGTGTTGACCCTTCCCTGCCCTGCGGCCCTCTCCAGCTGCGGGGGCTCCTGTGACCGCAGGCTTAGCTGCTCACGGCTCGTAGGATCTTAGTTCCCCGACCAGGGATCAGACCCGTGTCCCCTGCGTTGGCAGGTCCTCACAGCTCGCAGGATCTTAGTTCCCCGACCAGGGATCAAACCCGTGTTCCCTGCGTTGGTAGGTCCTCACAGCTCGCAGGATCTTAGTTCCCCGACCAGGGATCAAACCCGTGTTCCCTGCGTTGGTAGGTCCATTCTTAACTGCTGGACCACCAGGGAAGTCACCCAATTATATTTTCTAAGCACAAGAGAATTAAAATTATAAGATTGTTATATAAAAATAGCCGTATGTGTTGAAACCAAATAACTCACCTTGAAATAATTCAGGAGTCAGAGAGGAAAATCCCAAGGGATGCTGAAGGAAATTAAGCCCAGTAGAAATGAACACAAAGCATAAACAAATCGGGGCGGGGGAGTGTTAATTCTGTGAAAGTGTTAGTCACTCAGTTGCGTCTGACTCTTTGCGACTGCATGGACTGTAGCCCACAGACTCCTCCGTCCCTGGAGCTCTCCAACCAAGAATACTGGAGTGGGTTGCCCTTCCCTTCCCCAGGAGATCTTCCGGGCCAAGAGACTGAACCTGGGTCTCCTGCATTGAGGCAGATTCTTTACTGTCTGTACGCAGAAGGAATTCTATAGATTTAAAGTGCAACTTTTAAAAACTGCATTAAAAAATAAAAGGTTTGTAGTGAAAAAAGATTAACAAAGAAAAAAATTTTCAATTTAAAAAGAAGAAATGTTGAATTCAATTATATGTAATTTTATTTCAAGGAATTATAGAATAAAGCAAATTAAACCAAAAGAACTAGCAGGAAGAAAATATTCAAGATCTCAGCAGCAATGGATGAAATGAAAAAACAGACAATAGAGAAAATGAACAGTCAGAAGGTTATTTGAAAAGATTAGTATAATTGATAAACTCCTAGCTAGGTTAATGAATTTAAATGTTACAAAACACAAATTACCCATCAAGAATGAAAGGATTTGGCTGCACAGTAAAAGGATGATAGAAAGATAACATGAACAACTTTCGCCGATACGTTGTACAACTTAGCTAAGGTGGAAAAAATATGTGAAAAGCACAATTTATCAAAACTAACAAACGAAATAAAATATGTGAATAAAAACACTTCCAACAACAATAAACATGTCTAGAAACTCATGCTGTATTAGAGCCTTCTAACGTCCATTTAAGAAATAACGCCAATTGTGCAGAAACTCTTGGAAAGAATAAAGAAGGAAACTCTCCCCCACTCAATCTACAAGTCTAGTGTTGATCTGATAATAAAACTTGACACAGATATTTCAAGGAAATAGAATTAGAGACCTCTATTTCTCGTGAAAGCAGAGCAGAAAATTCCAAACAAAATGCTAGCAAATCAAATCCTCTACTATATCTGGCAATAATACATCATCACCAAGAATTTAAAAATCCATCACAATACTCATAGCTTTAAGAGGAATAACAAGTGAACTCAACTCCGTAGGATGTATTAGTTACAAATTTCAATTATAGTTCTGTACATTAGAAACAAAGAAAGGAAAAGGAAAGATTTTAAATAATATTTCCATTTGAATTTCATTAAATACGTAGCATGAAAAAGTGAAAGTGAAAGTGTTAGTCACTCAGTCTCCCATCTCTCTGTGACCCCACGGACTGTAGCCCGCCAGACCTCTCTGTCCACGGGACTGTCCAGGCAAGAACACTGGAGTGGGTAGCCTTTCCCTTCTCCAGGGGATCTTTCTGACCCAGAAATTGAACTCGGGTCTCCAGCATTAGAGGCAGATTCTTTACAGTGTGAACCAAAATTTCATGAAATACATAGCATGGTGAGGAATAAATCTAAGGAGAGATGTGGAGGTCTCTATAATAGAAACTGTAGAATGTGATTGACAATAAAGAAGACATAAACGCAGACAGATTTACCTTGTTCAGACTGGAAGATGACATTTATAAGATGCGAATTTCCTCCCCAGTTTATCTGTGTTCATGTCTGAGGGCTGCCGTAACGAAGGACCGGAGACTGAGGGGCTTTAGCAGCAGAAGCGAGCCCCCCCGCCGTCTGCAGGCTGGCTGTCCAGAACCCGGGGTGGACAGGGCGGGTCCCTCGGGCTGTGGGAGGTTCGGCCCGGTCCCCCGCCGGCTCCTGAACCAGCGTTCCCTGACACATGGGTGGTCTCCTTCCCATCTCCACACAGCCCCGCCATTGCGTGTGTCTGTCTCAGGTCTAAACTTCCCCTTGGCTCAAGGACACCAGACATACTGAGCTAGCGGAACCTTCGCTTCCCCTTAGCGGATTTTTCTGCCAAGACCCTCTTTCTACATGAGTTTGGCTCCGCAGGGCAGGACGGGAAGATCCCGGCAGAGGGCAGGCGGGAGGGATCTGCCCAGGGGCCCCTGCAGCAGAGCAGGGTCGGCTTGGCTGGAATCCACCATCCTCCCCGTATTCAGTGCGGCTGCGGCTTGTGCAGGGACCACAGACGGAGGGGCCGCCCTGGCCCCGCAAACTGACGGTCCAGAGAGGGCGGCAGGCCAGCGGCCCCTGCCCGGCGGGGTGAGGGCCTCGGTGCCCCCACGTGGGACCCCCGACAGCTGCCTGCTCTGACTGCCTTTCTCAGGAAGGCACCTGCGTCCAACCGTTTCTGCCCCAGGACCCTCGTTACAGAAGCCGCCCGCCTTCACGCCTCTCCTGCCCCCTCGCCCCGCCTGGGAAGAGCCCCACCGCTGGCGCAGAGCCTGTGTCCTCGGCCTTCTGAGAAGGAGACCCTGGCTCCAGCACCCCACGGACAGGACTTCCGACAGCCTCCTGGGCCCCCAGCCCTGCCCCCGGCTCAGGCTCCCGCCGGCACCCAGTCTGCACTGGCCTCGGAGCTCTGGCCCCGGTTCTGCAGTGCCCCCCACCCCCGGGGGGAGCCCCACGCCTGGCCACTCAGCCCAGGCGTTCAGAGGGGAGACGGCTTCTTCAGCTGCTCTGGTGGGCCGATTCTGAAGGCAGAATGCAAATGGCCGCTGGTCGGCCCAGACCCAGGGCCCCGCAGGTCCCGGCTGTGCTGTGCTGTCTCACGGAGTCCTGACCAGTGGGTACAGGACACTGGCTGCCGTGGGCTCTGGATGCATGCGGGGAGGACCCTGGGCTTAGAGTCCCCCTGGGACCACGGGCACGGACTGTGACAGGCCCATCAGCACCATCTGGCCCAGCAGCATCCTCACCATGGCAACCGTACCTCACACCGAGGCACTAGGCCACCGCAGGGGTCCCTGTGACCACAGCAGGTCCTCAGAGGTTCTGCCTGGACGTGGGGGTTGCTCTGTGAGCTCAGCAGGGCGGGTACCTGGGGTCAGGTGCAGGGCTGGCCTCCCAGGCCCGCCCCGAGAGGCCTGTCCACCTCCAGGCCTGGTGAGGAAGTGTGCCCTCGACTGTCTCCATGGGTGTGTTTGGTCCCCGGTCTCGGTGGAGGACTCGGAGTCCCACCCTTAGGGACGTGACATCACTTTTCAAAGAGCTGGCCCATGTTCCCTGGAGCCCAAGCCCTGTTCCCCAAAGGGGGCTGGACTGCGGCCACCCCCACCCCCACCTCAGGGTCCCCAGTCTCAGGCTTTCTGCCTAAAACACATGTCATCTTACCCATGTCTCTGAGCTGCTGAGAGCATCAGAAACACACAGTGTGGTGGGCTTCCTGGGCTCGGCCTCCCCAAGTCCCGGGCACCCTGGACACTGTGTGTCCTGAGATACCCGGGCACGGGACCAGGGGTCTGATGATGAGTTCCGCTCCGTCACCTCAAAGAGGGCCCTGTCTTCCTCTCAGGCGGAGAATGAGGGGTCTCCTGGGCGGGCAGGAAACTGCCCCATGCGTCCACAGCGGTCGTGCCCCCGCTGCCCTCTGCCCCAAGACGGGCTCCATTCCAGAGCATAACAGGCAGAAGGCATCTCGTTTTCCAACAAGTAATTAAAAAATGAACATTGAAGCTGTGCTGGAACAGGGTTAAGAGAGAGAGCCCTGGGTCACCAAGGAAGTCTGGGTTTTATTTTATTTCCATGTAAGCGTTGGCGTTGTCTGCCGACTGGATTTGCCTCTTCATCGGAGGAGGGGGCGGGACAGTGCGATCTCCCCTGAGTCTCAGGGTTCTCCGGAACAGCTTATGCTCTCTCAGCGGCCGGAGCCACGCGGCTCTGGTCAGAGGATTCGGGGGGCGGCAGGAGAGGCAGAGAGGGGGCCTTTCCTCCTGCAGATGACGCCCCACACGCCCACCGTCTGCCTCCCCCGACGCTGTCACCCCACTCAGCTCCTGTCACCACCAAGACGTCCAGTCTAGGGCAGGCGCCTCAGCCCCCGTGGCCAGGCCCCTCTGTGCTGTGCAGACAGAGGGTGTCTCTGACCTCTCAGGGCCTGACTTGAAGCTGGAGTGCCTCCCTGTCGGGGACTCCGCAGGCTCCCGCCAAGTCCCCACCCGTGTCTAGACGTGTGCTAGGCCTTGGGTATACTGTCCGCTATGCCGAGAGCCAGGCAGAAAACAGAGCAGAGCTGGCAGGGGGTGGGGGGTGCATGCCTGCTAGTCGTGAACAGCTCCGTGCGGCCCCGAGGACTGCAGCCCGCCAGGCTCCTCCGTCCATGGGATTTCCCAGGCAAGGATGCTGCAGTGGGCTGCCATTTCCTTCTCCGGGAGGAATCTTCCTGATTCTAGGATCGAATTTGAGCCTCCTGCTTGGTGGACACATTCTTTACCACTGAGCCACCAGGGAAGCCAAGACTGCCTGGGGAGGGAGGATTAGCAATCAGCAGGTGGCACGGGGTGGCCAGCGGGGGCGCCTTCACCAGGAGCTGAGACCTGGGCAGAGCTGTCTCCCCACACCCGCCCTGCTGGGTGGGCTGGCGCAGCTCCCGTCCAAAGAGCGGAGTCAGAAAAGGGGAGGAGCAGGCGGCTTGGTGCTCAGGAGACACGCTCTGTGGCGCTGCAGGGCCTGGGGCCCCAGGCGGCTCGCCTCCGAGGCCAGGTGCCCCCAAGGGTAGCCCCCGTGGCTGAGCAGCTGCAGGGAGTGTATGCGGGTGTGGGCTCCTGGCTGCAGGGGCTGCCAGAGCGGAGGGACCAGGGGCTTCTCCCACCCCTGGGAGGGGCTCATCGGTGGCCCCTGGCCCAGAGCTGGGTCCACAAGTCTGTGTGACGCTGGCCTTGGCCCATCTGGCGAGACGGGGCCAGGCCAGTGCCACCAAGAGTCCCTGCCCCGCACGGAGGAGCTCTTTGTCACCTGTGAATGAAACTGCCTCAAAAAGCACCGGGTTCCCTGGAACAGAGGCTGAGCTGCTGAGGGAGAACGCACGTGTGCGTCAATCATGTTTCTCAGAATATGAAGGATTAGAATTCTAACACTGCCTGGGGGAAGGAGCGCACGTCTCCAGTGAGACAACAGCGTCTCACCCTGCAGACACCCATCCTGCCAATGCCCCCCACTGCTGATGTCCCCCACCTCTGCTCCACCCACACCCCTCCCTGCTGACACCCTACTCTGCCGACGCCCACCCTGCCGAGAGGCCGCCACATTAACAGAAAAGGATGCAAACTGAATTCACCATCATCCTCATTCTCAGGATGGGCTGCAAGACATGATTTTGGAAGCCAATGTCCCCCCCTTGGGAAGTGGGGCAGACAGGGTGATGGGGGGTCACGACAGTCAACTTTGGTCATGGAGAGAGCACAGGCCAACCCTTTGCTAACAGGATGAGGGGTCAGGACAGATGGGGAGTAAGACAGACAGACAGAGATGGCCCCACTCACAGGGACTGGCCCCCACCTCCAGGGCCGGGCGGAAGCAGCAGGCATAGGGCACCCGGGGAGATGGAAGGGGTGCGGGGAGGCTCAGCCTGCTCTCTGAGCGGGGTCCCGGGGGCCCTGCCCCACCACGTGTCTGCTTCAGGCGAGGCTTCTGGGAGGGGTATCCTGGGCTGGATTCGCACACAAGGCCCATAGCCCCCCTCTTCACCGCGTGTATAGAGAGGAAAGGCCTTGAGGTCCTCTCAGGCCCCGACACTCACACCCCAGACCTCTGGCCACCACCCAATCTCTGCTTGCGGCCCTGCTGGAGTCCCTATGGGCGGCCAAGTGCCTGCCGTCCCACTAGTCCCGGCCCGGCTCCTCCAGGACCCTTGAGAAGGGAAGCCCCCCCTCGGTTTGCAGGGCTGGTGGAGAGAGAAAAGGGCTTCAAATGAAACCATCATAGCACGAAGGCTTGCAGTCCCCCGTTACCCTGGCCCCGGATCTGGGTGCTGTCCTACAAACCCTTCTGCAAGAGTGCTGCGCCCTCCCTGGGGGTCAGCACCTCCCGGGCACTGAGTCCGGTGGGGGACTCACTCTCCTTTGAACCAGGTACCACGTGAAGGGTCCTGGGAAGGCTAGGCCGGTTCCCAGGCAGCCGCCTCCAGGAACTGCACCCAGACTGGCTCCAGAAGGACCCCCGGGGCCCCGCAGGAGCTGCAGCATCGCCAGGCAGAGGGCAGGACATCCCAGAACCTTCTAGACTCCACTCAGCCCCGCTGCCAGCCCCGAGCCTGGTGGGAGAGGCCAGGCGTGTGACTCCCTCCCAGCCCCATCCTGGACAAGCCCGGTTGTCTACGTTTAAATCCATGCAAAGGCGGCCATCAGCCTCAGGGGCCCGGGAGGCCAGGCTGCTGGCTGCCTGAAAAGCCATGATGGATTCTACCCCCTGCCTTTCATGCTGCAGAAGACGCCACCCATTTGTTCTGGCTGAGGTGCGTCCACAGGTCTGCGAATATAATAACTTGAGAGGAAATTGAAGTAGTTACTGTGAAGTGATGGGCATTTGAAGGAGACTCTCACTTGACCTGTGGGACTAATTTTTCAAACGCCATTTATTGTCTGACTTGAGCAGACGCGAGTGCATGGGGCCGCCTCGCAGGCTCCATCAGGAGGCAGCTAAGGATTCTGGGGTTTCCACCTCCCATTCAGCTGGGGGGGCCCCCTCCCCTCTCTGTGATGCTTGCTGCCGGGGTGTCTCTTTTCCTGCCAGCAAGAGTGGCCCCAGGCTCCGCCGGCTCGGACGTTGCGGGGGACGCGGGCACTGGCTGTCGGCTTGCGGTCTGGTCGCAGCTGTCTGGAGTGCAGGACCACACGCGCAGCGGGTTCAACATCTCTGTTATGAGGACCTTTCCAGACGGCATTGCTTGTTAGGTGGACAGTTAGACGCTGTAGCCTCAAGCAGTCTCAGGTGGGGACATTCATCTTGGAAAGAGTTGGAAACTGACACTTTCCCATTTCACTGCCGAGGGAGAAAAGTGAGCTCGTCCGTCCGCCCCTGGACGGAAAACTCTGTCCCCCGCCAGCATCCGCATCTTCATTAGACGGAGCAGGTGATGGGAGCAACTGGACACCAGGCAGTGGGTGTGGGTGTGGGTGAAGTCAAAGGCCTCCTTTAGGGCCTTGGAGCATGTATTTCACCGGCAGCTGTTCGGAGGTCTCGCCGAGCCCATCCCCGCCATTCTGGCTCCTGGCTCTTAATCCTCACACATCTCTTGTCATAACCGGTCATTTCAGGGTCTGCCCGACGACCCTGCCACCACGTCAGCCGCTCATTACTTGAGCACCGTCTCTCCCAGGATCGAGTCCACCGCCCACCCCGCCCTCGTCTGTCTTGGGGTGGGCCCTGCTTCTCCCACCCCACCTGCCACGCCACCTTACCCACCTTGGGCCGCCCGTCCTGTGCTCATCCTCAACCTGTGCCTCCCCAGCGCCTTCTCCGAGGTGCTGTCCCGAGTGCACAGGTGACTCCCCTGTGGGCCGGGGCCCCACGCACCCTTCTGAATCAGCAGAAGTAACCAGGACCAACCAGCTGTGCTGGTCGGGGTTGTGGCATCCAAGGGCCGCGCCCTCCTGCGGGGTCCAAGGTGAGATCGTGTATCTGCCTGCACCCCTGACTCTGACTCCACCCGCGTGGCACTTAGCTGTTAGGTTCTAAAGCTCCTTCTAGTAGGAGGATCCTATCAGTGACGTCCGCGACTGCCCAGCGGGGCTCCCAAGAGGTGCCCACGGGCCTCTGAGCCCCCGAGGACCCCTGCACACCAGGCGTCTGATGCTGCCTTCCTGTGCCCCTCCTGACCTCGGCGCCTCCCACGTCCTGTCCCGCCAGGCCCCTCCCAGGTCCTAAAAATGCCCAGAAGCCCCTGCTCCCCTCCCGCCTACGCAGAACCCTGTCCCTACTGGGCCTTCCTGGACCCGTGTGGCTGCGGCCAGGAGGGGTCCCCTCGTCCACCCGGACCCCCAGGCTCACAGCGGGCGTTTCCTGCATCACTGACGGGTGGGGCTATGTGGTCCAGGACAAAGTCCTGAATTTTGGTCCAAGCCAAATGGCTCAGACTCAGGCCTTCCTGACGAGCTGTGAGATCAGGCATCATCTCGCTAGCTTTCCATCCCCCTGTCCGTAAACACTGGGGTGTGGGATGAGGTAGGAGGTGGATGGGCTCCAGGCCGGACATTTACAACCAGCCTCCTGTTTACCCTCCGAAGTGGAAGTGACAACAGGGAAAACAGTCCGTCTTCACCTCTTGTAAACATCTCAGGGTAACAGTCATGGCAAGGGCAAAGGGAGCCAAACCTGTCCCAGTAAAGGATTGAGAGATCTCTGCTCCCCGGTTTTCTTTTAGGACAAGGGAGACAGCACACACGTGCAGAAAGGCTCCTTGGGGTCAAAAGTCAGAGGATAATTCCAGGCCATAGTGAGTCTTGCTCTTCCCAGAAGCCTTCATCTCTAGATCCATCTTGGCTGAAGGATGCGTGCGCACCCTAGGGGTGGGTCCTGAGACAAAGTAACTGACAAGGGGGAAAGAAAGATGATTGGCTTAAGGGAAGACAACTGCCCGAAAAACTGTCCTCTTGTGAAGGATTAAACCCCCAAAGGCACGGCTCTCTCTGAGCTCGCCAGCGTGCCTTTCCACACGTCCTTTTGTTTTCAATAAACTTACTTTACTCTGTACCTTCCGCCTCCTTGCCTGAATTTGTTCTTGACTAGGCAGGCAAGGACTCAGGACTTCAGCCCTCACTGCTGGTCCCTGTGGTCGAGTGTTTAGGACTCCCAGTCCCGGGAACTAAGACCTGCTTCCAGCTCCTGCTCACTGCTGCTTGCTGCAAGCTGCCATTTACTGCTGTGTGCATCCAAAATCAGGGAGATCCGTCTTAGTGATTCAGAGAAGCCACTTAGGGTTGGTGGAGCCGGGAGGTGTGAAGGCCTTTCTGGACAGCAGAGGTGTGTCACTGCCCCAGGGTAAAGCATGGCTGACGCACAGATGGCGGTGAGTGTTTGTCCAGATGGATGGATGGGTGGATGAATGGATGGATGGATGGATAGACATCTAGGGTGGATGGATAGATAGATGGATGGATGGATGGATGGATGGATGGATAGATGGATGGATAGATGGATGGATGGATGAGTGGATGGATGGATGAATGGATGGATGGGTGGATGGATGGATAGAGGGATGGATGGATGGATGGATGGATGGATGGATAGATGGGTGGATGGATGAATGGGTAGATGAATGGATGGATGGATGAGTGGATGAATGGATGGATAGACATCTAGGGTGGATGGATAGATAGATGGATGGATGGATGGATAGATGGATGGATAGATGGATGGGTAGGTAGGTGGATGGATGGATGGATGGATGGATAGAGGGATGGATGGATGGATGGATGGATGGATGGTGGATGAATGGATAGATGGATGGATGGTAGGTAGATAGAATGACGGATGAATGATGGATGGATGGATGGACAGAATGAATGATGGATGGACAGATAGACATGTTTTGTGGGCATCCCCACCCAGAACTGGGTCTGGCCCCTCAGTGGCCACAGATCACACAGTCAGACAACTGGCAGTTACACCTGAGCTGCCCCTGGAGGGAGTGCTCGGGGACCACCGAGGGTGACCCTCTCCCATCCTGTCCTGCCACCTGAGGCCCAGCTCCTGGAGGTCAGTTCAGGGACAGCTCGGGGAGTGTCCTCTCCCACAGGCCCAGGCCAGGTCTCTCCGCAGGGACAGCTGCGGGCACAGCCGGGGCCCCGGCAGAGAGCAGGTGGAGGGTGAGCACCGACCTCCAGTGACAGGGACCCGACGCCACAGAGGCAGGGGCAGACCCCGGCACCCCGTCTCGCCAGCACACCGGCCTGGGTCTCACCAGGAGGTCCCAGTCCCCTTCTGTGCCCTTGGCCCTGTGAGTGGTCAGTGCCTTTGACCTTGTGTGAGGCCCAGGGTGGGAAGGTGCCCATCCCAGCGAGCTGGCTCCATCAGCCAGGCACACGTGGGTAAGGCAACACTTACAGCAAAGGCACAAAGCAAGTGGTTCCTCATCAGAACAGCGCTAGCGTGAGCCCCGTGCAGTAGTTGATGTTTTGTACATAAATAAATATAAACACAGATGGGGTTTCCCATGTGGCATGTGAACTTGAATGCCAATGCAGGAGACATCAGAGAGCTGGGCTCAATCCCTGAGCCAGGAAGATCCCCTGCAGGAGGGCATGGCAACCCACTCCAATGTTCTTACCTGGAGAATCCCGTGGACAGAGGGGCCTGGCAGACTACGGTCCATAGGATCACAAAGAGTCAGACACAACTGAAGTGACTTAGCATGCATGCATGTGAACACGGATACCTTTGTGTATCCTTAACAGGAAACAATAATTATAATTAGCACTAAGGGTTTAATTTTAATGTAACCCAGGCACTTTATATGAATTATCTTATACCCCAAACTCTAAAATGTTTATTTTAGCTGGGATAAGGAGAAACTTTCAGATTTTCATCTTCCTGTGTTTCTTTTTTGTTTTGGTTTTAAACAGAAGTGAGCTCTCCCAGCGGTGTCTCCCCAGGAGTGGGAGAGAGGCCGTCCACTCTCCGAAGCCCCACGCCCACCCCGCGTCTAGGAAGCCCCCGGCGGCGTTCTGTGTGCTGGGCGGGGAGGGGTCCGTGTCCCGCACCCTGGGTCGAGGGCAGTGTCCTCAGCAGGTGATGAAACAGAGGGGCTGGCAGGATGACTACCTGGCGAGAGGAGCTGCAAACGTTGCCGCTGCCCGCTGTCTCCGAGTTGCTCCTGACTGGGCGCCTGGGGAGGGTGGCGAGGGCCGACCCCATTCACATACTCCACTACCCTGCACTAATCTGCAGCCTGCGAGGTCAAGGGGCTTTTCTTTTTGTTTTTTTAACAGCACCAGCTTTTCCAATATACCGTCACCGGATACCTGCCCCCAGCTCTGCTGGGAGGAGAGACTCAGACTGCAAAGCAGAGCGTAAGGCTGAACTATGGGAAAAGGGGAGACAGGTCCCCAGCGCCTCTCAGCAAACAGGCGGGCTGACCAGGGGCCACCCCTCTTCCCGGGGATCCCTGCGTCTGGAGCCCCCGAGGCCGCTCCTGCGTACCGCAGAGGGGACCTAGTGGGGGTGACCAGGCATTTGTCGTGCAAACCCAGACGCTGGCCTGGGGTAGATGTGGCCTGGGCGAGATGCAGGGGCAGCAGGAGGAGACCAATCAAAACCGCTCCATGCTTGCAGGTTGGCCCCCTGGAAATAACGCTCACACTGAGAAGTGCAAACAAGTTCACCCCGGTCCTCACTGTGTCCTCCAGCTCTCCAGGACAGCCAACCCATGCTGGTTGCGGGGAGCCCATAGCAGTGGCTGCTAGCTCACCACCAACCTCCAGTCTCCCACTTCCCCTTCATCTAGTGGACACTCCCAAGTTTAGCTGGGCACATGGCTACCTAGCAAGGGATGCCCTAGGTGTGGCCATGTGACTATCTTGGCCCCATGAGAAAAAGGGATGCACACCACTTTGGGGTAATGATCTTCAAAACAGTGGGCATGTAGCCCCTTTGCCCTGTTCTTTCTTCTAGTCAAAGGAGTTGCAGATGTGATGGCAGGACCCAGAGCAGCCACTCTGGGCCCAGAGTCGAAAGCTACCTTTGAGATGGTAGTCACCCCACCAGCCCATCACTTCCTACCTTCTAACTGCTTGGTGAGGACTGTTTGTTACCCCTGGTTAGATGGTACAAGTCATATAAGTTGAAGGAGCACGGATCCCTAACAAGTCGGCAGGAACTCAGGTTTCCACTCTGATGTGTACTGGGGTCTGGGTGCAGGCAGCACCCTCAGGTGGGAGTGCAAAGCCATTTTCACCAGTCCCTGCTCTTGCCTCTCAAGGAGTTTGGTGACCCCAGCCGTTCGGCCCTGAGGAGAGCCAGCTGACCCTGCTGGTGGTGATGCGGGGACCAGCGGCTCCTCCTTCACAGCCCCAGGGTCTCAGAGCCCTTTGCTCCAGCCCAGCTCAGGGCACGAGCAGGCGAGAGACTGCAGGATCCAGAGCACAGCTAGCTTGGACCAGAGCGCCCTGTCTTTCTGATGCCCTTCATTTGGTAAGAACTGGCCGTGTGCCCCAGGGCCCTGGGGGTGTGGGAGCCTGTGGGCACTTGGGGAGCCTCCTAGTCATCATGTTTTATCAGGAGAAAGAGGCTCGTCTACATCCAGGTCAGAACCATCGACATGCCTCCTAAGACTCCAGTTGACACAAAGTCCACGGAGAAAATGAAGGATCATGTGAGCTTAGGACCCCAGTCGTGTCCTGACACCCTGTGACCCCACGGGCTGCAGCCCACCTGGCTCCCCTGTCGACAGGATTCGTGACCCCATGAACTGTAGCCCGCCAGGCTCCTCTGTCCATGGGATTCTCCAGGCAAGAATACCGGAGTGTTGCCATTTCCTCCTCCAGGGGGTCTTCCCAACCCAGGGATCAGACCCACCTCTCCCGCGTCTCCTGCACCGGCAGTCAGGCCCTGGTGGGCCACCAGGGAAGCAAAAGCATCATAAACTTTTCCTAAAATAAAAAAAGAAACAGTTTGCAGATACAAGAACTGGACAAGAAGAGAGAACTTTCAGATACAAATGAGACAGTTCCCAGGGTGCATGTGAGTCCATGCGCCTGTGGAGGGTGGTGACCACCCACGCGGAGTCATGGGAATTGTGGAATCAAAGAGAACCATGAAATGGGAAAATATTGGCACTTCTGGTCATGTGAAATCTAAAAAAAAAAAAAATTCTTGACTTTGAACAAAAGAGAAAATTACATAATGGTTATTATTAGATTAAAGGCTGTTCCCACACCCAATTAGTAAATGTTGAACACATATTTAAAAAGCAATTAGGAGGCTCCCCATGATACTGCAGTCTGGCTCTGCCCAGGTAATGAACTTGAACCTGGGGGCCCGCAGCCTGCGCCCGCCCCTGTCCTGACCCCCTGCTCCATGGGGACACCCTTCAGAGCCCCATAGCAGAGCGGAGGGCTGCCCCACCCAGGGCTGCCTTGTTTTCCCTCTGCCACTGTCCCCCCAGCACAGCTGAGCCCCTGCACCCGCCCCCCAGGGCCTTCTGCGCTTCTGTGTCCTCCTGGGGCTCTGGCCACGCTCAGCTCCGCCCCCCACTGCTGGCCCCGCCCCTGCCTGTGACCTTGGGTGGGTCATCTCAGGGACAACACGGGGCCCTTTAGCCCTCCAGCTTGATTCTCGAATGCTCCATAAACGGGAGCCTAAGGGCCGCACGTCCTGCCTTCCGACCTGGCCTTGGGCTTTGGCGAGTCTAAGTCTCAGCTTAGCTCTGGGACAGGGGAACAACTCAGGCTGAGCCGAGGTGACGCCTGTGGGGCGGGGAGTCCACACCTGGTGATGAGTGAGCTTACGTGTCGCAGCTCCTCCGGCTGACGCGCAAATGTCTGTGAACTCGGGGCTTTCGGGGGTTTTTCCTCTCACGGTCAGGGGCCCAGAGTCTGGAAGCAATGTGCCTACAGGGCCATGCTCCCTCCTGGCTCTGGGCCAGGACCCTTCCTTGTGTCGACTTAAAAGACAGTCACAACCTAAAAGTTGGGAGTTGTGTTTTATTTGGTGGAAAATTTTTGGACTTCAAGCCTCGGAGACAGCATCTCAAAGTAACCTTGAGAAATTGCTCTTAGGAGATTGGCTGGGGGGTGGGGAGAGGCGGGGGCGGGGGTGGGGAAGAGTGGGTTTTACGACAAAGGGCAGGTAGTCTGAACATCAAGAGATTATTGTTAGTTAAAGGAAACCACGAATTTCAGGTTAAGGAATTTAGACCTTCTCTGTGAATGGGAGGACACAAGGGTCTGGGCTCCCTGAAATCAATCCTTTCGTATGCATCTCAGCTCTCAGGGCCAGCATCCTGGTTTTGTTCACACCCCAAGCGCCCTTGGGCTCACTGTAAATAGTGGTTGCAACCCCGTGGCTGTTAGAACACAGGTATTTTTCCCCTTCCTGAGCGCCCTGAAGGGTTGGGATCGCAGATGGCTGTGACAGCTTGTTTACTGATATGAAGGAAATGCTCCCTTTCTCACCGGGTTCTCCAGAGGCTGCTGGTGGCTCCAGGGGACTTGCAGCCGCCTCGCCCGTCTCTGCCTCTGCCTTCATGTGGCCCCCTTCCTGCTGTGTATCTGAGTCTCAAAATCTCCCTTTTTTCTTCTTATAGAGACTCCTCTCATTGGATTTAGGGCTTACCCTAAACCCCGGGTGAACTCATCCTAATGCTTAATTACACCTGTGAAGACCCTTTATCCAAATCACATCACAGTCAACGTTCTCAAATGTTAGGGCCTGGGCATAGCTTCTGAGGCCACCACTGAGCCCACCTTCCCCGCAGGTGTGGGCCCCTACAAGCAGGTGTGCACTCAGCCTCTGCTTTTGAGAGTAGAAAATGCCACTTCCCTTCTCCCCTTCTCTCTGTGCTCCAACAGTGGAGGCCACCCCTCACCCCAGAAACCTGCCCGGGACCCCAGATCTTTTCTCTCATCTCAGAGCTCCCCACGGCCTTGCCCGCCGCTCCACCAGCTGCCCCATGCCTCCTCCCTGGCAGGTCTGCCCTCCTCGATCTGGACCAGAGTCCCCACTGCACAGGACGTCTAGTCTCAAGGCTCAGAAGTACAAGCGGAGTCAAAACCAGACCTGCAAAGGAGCGGGGTGTAAGGACAGCGGTGCAGAGTCTGCAGCAGAAAGGGGAGACACAGGAAGCCTGCGGCCTCCACGGGGCGCAAACCGCAGCTGGGAGCATTTGGGGAGAGACTGACCAGGGCCCATTAGCCCGCTCTGCTCCGAGAGCTTGATTGAATGAGGTTTTAGGTTTGGCTTCGCTGGTTATTGTAGTTTTTCCCATTATTTCATTGTGCAAATTCCTCGTAGAGTCAGCAGAATCTGGAGGTAAACTGAGCAGCTACTGTGAAGTGTGAAATATTACCTTCAACGAACGCAGTCAAACTATTTGCTTATGGGATCAGCTTGTGGAAATGAGGCCTTGGGGCTGGCAGGCCGGCCGGGAGCGGTCACCTTCCCGGAGCCGAGTCGCGGCTCCTGATTCCAGCAGCGGGCGGGATGTCCTGGCTCCCATAGGGCCAACGCCACATCATCTACGCAGTATTGCCAGCCCCATTCACTGTGCCACTGACAACAGCTCCCGGGGGCGGGCAGGGCAAGGGGGGTGGAAAACACGTCCATGGTGTATACTCATTCACCGGGCAATTACTGACTCCTGCCCCCTCCCTGGGCTCCCCCCACGTGGGGCCTTAAATCTGGGCAGGCTGAGAACAGGAGCAGGCCTCTGGAGGCCGCGTTTGCTGTGCTGAGTGGAGCTCAGGTGCCTGCTAGACCTGCTCTGGATGACCCCAGCGCAGTCCCTGTCCTCCCTGGGTCAGTGGTCCTCCCCCTGGCTACGTGGCAGAATCCCCCAAGGACCGTGCCTGACATCAGCACTGACTAACGTCAGGACCGACTGAAGCAGGACGTGCAGGTGGAGCCTCGGTGTCCATGTCCTTCCTGCACTCCTGGGGCTTCAGGAGCCTCCGCGGCTGAGAACCATCCTCCTGAGCAGGGTGCTGGCTCAGTCTTAGAGGAGGCTGGGGGCCCCTCACCCATTAGAGCAATGCCTGGATGGGGAGAGGAAGGCCTTGCACACACAGAGGCTT